TTGTAACACATGTCATTGTGCCAAATAATGATGACCCTCAACTGCATGTTTAAAACTAACATTAAAAAATTTACCCAATGAACATGTGCAACATTAATGACCACCAACAGTGAATTTACAGATGTGTTTAACTTCTTATGATTTAGTGATAGGCCTACTCAGAACCGCCCCTGCCTGACACATACTGGGCAAGTCATATGAACACGGTGGGTTCACTCCATCAGGTATACATTAGCTGAGAGGCTAGTATTGTCATTTTTGCAACATTTCTACAAAATTGCAGCTCCTAACAATGACAGTCAATTACTAATGTCATACACACTAATTTATATTGTACTAAGAAAACACTAAAGACCCCTGCTTTAGAACAAATACTCTCAGATCATGTCATCTGCACTGAATATTATACAGAATGCATACATTCTTTAGGTTTCTTCAATTAAGAGTCATAATTTTGTGACCTACTAAASCCATAGATGTTTGGATCCAAACATCTWTGGGTTCAYTCTTTAAATGAGARGTCTTTACCTGTGGATGAATTGTAAGCTCCTCCAATGTCTGTTAAAACTTTTCTGTAGGTTAAAGTTGTGTTTGTGTCAAAAGGACCAATGGATCCATCTTCTCCTGTTGACGCACTAAAGATCACCTTCTTGCTTYCTGTGTGAATAAAAGGATACCCAGAGTTCTTTAAATATAAAGTAAATGAACAACTAATAAAMGACAACTTAAGAAAACAGAAATGTATCAAAGCTTAACCTTTTTGGAGCATGTTTTCCAGAGCTTCAACTTTTGCWTTTAGTAACACAAAATCCTCTCCAGTGAAAGAATCTTTGTTGTTTGGAGCCTGAGCTGAGCTCGCGCTGCAGCAGGAAAACACCACAAGACACAGGAGAAGGATCATCTTRGTCACTGCCTGAATCCGTCTGACTAAAACAACTCTTTCAACATTGTCATAAAGGTTTTCTGACGATTGTGTGTGTTGTTTGTTGACTTTTTGTCCTTAAAAAGATCGCCCACCAAAGATGAAAGTTCAATTGATTATGCCTCAACCTGTACTTTGTCCAATAATCACAAACACTGTGCTTCACAGGTTTCTGCTGATGCAGGGGTTTGTTGAAGCTCCCTGCTTTTCATGGGGGTCTCTGTACTATTGTAAGGGGCCCCCCATTGGGAGAATGGACATTTCCACCTGTCTTTGAACCTGATCTCAAAAGACCTTGCTCAAAAGAGACATTTTATTTTCTTTAATAAACATAATAATAATATTCTTTATATTCTTGATTTATACTTTCTTTTAACTACAAGTAATTATCATTTTATAAATCAAAGTTACATAATGAAAATAATGACGATCTGTCTTCTTTCATTATACTTAAAGGGATCACTGATTAGTTGTAACATTAGACTTTATTTGATAATCGAAAATTTTAACTGTAAAATAAAGACTGTAAAAAAACTGTAGGCTGTTTAGTTTTGTAAATTTTTTTAAAAATATTTTAACACGGATGGAGCCATTTTATTTATATGCAAAGCATTC